CTCAGATTGCGAGTCAAGCGCCCTAACCACCAGGCGTCGACAATTCTTGGTGATCAGGGAACGTTAATACGTCTTAACTAGAAAGGAATAGAGGTACCAAGTATGCTTGACTATTAATTTCTCTTGCCTGTTTTAAGACCAAAGTTGGGGACAGATAACTTTTGTTTCTTACTATTGAAAATTTCATCGTTTTTAATTTAAACTGTTTGAACGCTTTGTTTTATGATAATTTAAACTTTCATTCAGGATGAAAAAGGACAATAATATAATTGACTGCCCGCGATTCCTTACTTAAGTTACTGCCATATAAAACCATCCCTGTGCTCATTATGTACATACAGTTACGTTACATATACATGTAGAAACTATAAAATTCAGCATGGTTGTACTCGGCATAACTGATATGTGACTTGTAATGTTTTAGTTTCATATATCACCACTCAAAGATATAAATGAATTCCCACTTTATTTTCATTGCTTTCTAGATTGAGATTTATTGTACACTTGAAGTGAAACGTATGTGTAGATGGTGTCAATTGGTTTATACTTTTATTTGTCTTTTTAGTGTGCTATCTGCATCAACGCCAGGGCTACCATGCAGACCTTCCCCTGTGGGCACCGAGTTGTATGCAGAAAATGTTTTGTTAAGACTATACAGATAGCCGTGTCTCAGAGGATTCTGCCACTTCGGTGCGTCGTGTGCCGAGCTCGAATCTTGCGCATCAAACAAACCACTTCCGGAGGAACTCCGGTGCCACCTTCCCGCCGAGCTGCAATGTTGATGACTTCTCGAGAAGCTCTTCAGAATGGCCAAGATGCGCCAATGGCTGCCGTTCTATCAGGATCTCAAGGCTTCTTCGCACCTGCCGTCAATCCTGTAAAATTGAAGCCCACCAGCTTTAAAAATATGAAGTACAAAGTCGCTGTATCTCCTAGTCCCAAGAATACTTCAACCAATAAAAACAATGGAGATCAAGGACCTCCGGCAGAAGAAAAGTTACCACTAATTCGTCATAAAAAACCATTGAAAGTCCTAAATGTAGTGCCAGATAGAAGTCCTGTTCAATGGGCAGAAGCTAGATCAAAGCACTCTGTGGTCATCCGTGCGCCAAAACATCGACGGCGTCATCAAGTTCATGTTAGTACACCTGCGCAACTGTTCCCTATCGAAGAACATGACGAACAAGAAACCCTGGAGATCAAAGGGCAGATTCACAATCTCGATATATCAGAAGACACATCTGAAACGTGTCCCCTGACAGGACACGGCAGACACGCCTCACGTGGGAGGTTGTCTGCCTTCCAGCATCTCCGAAGTAGGTCTCCGTTGAAGGTATTCAGGTCCATTGCAAAATAAACCATGATCTAGAGATTCATAATAGTAAAAACTGTAGCAAGTCTTCCCAGCAAAACTCCAAACCTGTGACTCAATAGATCATAGTAGTCTTCTCAGCAAAACTTCAAACCAGTGACTCAATAGATCATAGTAGTATTCCCAGCAAAACTTCAAACCCGTGACTCAATAGATCATAGTAGTCTTCTCAGCAAAACTTCAAACCCGTGACTCAATAGATCATAGTAGTTCCCTGGAAGATCACCAAGTCTTTGTGACATAGTAAACGTTAGTAGAACTTTTTGATTCTCTTCACTTCCATGATGAAAATAACACGTCACAGATCCCTGGGTCTTCGGGTTCGTAGCGAAACCAACTACAGGATTTTTCTTTGAAGATCTTTAGACGTCTAAAACTTTAAGTTCTAAAAATTCTTTCTTCAAGATCATCAAGTCCCTAAAATATGTCATAGTTGATTTTTCCAAAGGATCTTCTTGTCCTTGAAAACAGATTTTCTTCATGTGAATGACGAAATGAACTTGTAACAGTTATCATCCAAAGATTTTCAGATCACTTTTAAATTTAACTTTTCTGACCTCGTCTAGTGACGGGCATAGAAAGTCACACCTCAGCAACGAAGAAAAAGAATAAAGCAATAAATACGAACAATGCTTGTATAATAACATATTTTAAAACTGTTTAAAAATAATAAGAAATTTATTTAAATTACTGTTGATGTTTTGTAAAACCAGAACCCTAACAACCTATCTCAAAGACTATTATTTTTTGATTGAAACTATAGTGTAATTGCACATCAAAATCTCTACCCATTTTACAACCGCAATGCCAGCAGCTTTAAATTCAGGCAGAACTTAAGTTCAAGCATCTTAATAACTATGTTGTTTTGCAATACATGTAATTAAAATCGCTCATTTTTCTTTAATTAGGGGAGTGCCTTATTGACAAAATAGCCTTATTTCAGCCTCAGACAGATTTGTTTTTCTTTTATGAATTTATTTATCCGTTGTATCTCTCTAACACTGTTTTAAATAAGGTGCATATCGCTTCTATCATTTTCTTAGTATTCAAATTTTGTTTTTCGTAAAATTCCAAACGTATACTTTTGAGAACGTAGAAAAGCCAACTCAATAGTACGACTGAGTGTAACTTAGTGATTAATATGCCAAACTGTGGCTTCTAGAGTCCCTGATTCGCGTCCCTTGACCCCCAAAAAACGTGCTGTACGGCATTACGGTAAAATATAAATTACTTTAGGAATGAATTCGTGTATTCGAGATTATTCTAGTAACACTCAAGTTTTAGTGTACTTATTTAACCGGAGTTACTTTTAATCCGTCTGGTGAGCCCCCCAGTGGCACAGCGGTATGTCTGCGGACTTACAACGCTAGAATCCGGGTTTCGATACTCGTGGTGGGCTGAACACAGATAGCCCATTGTGTTGCTTTGTGCTTAACTTCAAACAAACAAACTGTCTGGTGAATTAAGTAATTGTAACGACGTTATGATGTGGGCAATATATCAATTCCAAATGTTTTTTTTTTGTTTTTTAATTTCGCGCAAAGCTACACGAGGGCTATCTGCGCTAGCCGTCCCTAATTTAGCAGTGTAACACTAGAGGGAAGGCAGCTAGTCATCACCACCCACCGCCAACTCTTGGGCTACTCTTTTACCAACGAATAGTGGGATTGACCGTCACATCATAACGCCCCCACGGCTGAAAGGGCGAGCATGTTTGGTGTGACGGGGATCAATTCCAAATGGATTATTTTTATCTTTAGATCATTTCAGTGGTTTTATAAGTGAAATACTTTCAAGACGTTATTTTTAGTGCGTGTTTTTCGCTAAGAAGTGAATCGATTAAAAAAAAAGAAGATTACTTGTTCTAGTCATTTGTTTTGTTTTCCTTAGATATTTCCAATCTGATTATTTTAATTATGAAATTATTTTACTTGCATGGGACCATTTTTATCTTATTTCGAAATATACATTTGCATTTGTTTCTCGTTTTAAATTCTCATTTATTAATATTGTATCTCTCAAAAATATTTAAGTAGAGCATATTTCTGCAAAATTGTTGCATGAATTAAGCGGCAACCTTTTTTTAAACATTTACTATAACATTTGCGTTGAATAATTGAAACTATTCGGCAAACACCCAGAACCACGTGCCAAACAACTAGTTTCTGTCCTGGAAATGAAGATATCTCAAAGTTTTCGATTAGGAAATTGATGTTATCATACTAGCCAGAATGTTTTAGCTGAGTAGTTGATCAAAATATTTTTGCTATTCCGACAATAACAATAGGCCAACTTAGAAAACTATATTAACAGAAGCTTGTTGTGGTAAAGCTCTTAGATTGTATTTATCTTGTATACAGGCGATTAGTAATTGTAAAGATCGTATATCTTACATACTTTAATAAATTTCTAATCGTATGTAGGCTTAGCAACTTTGTCATTGAAGATAAGCATATGTTGATGTAACACTGATGTTAAATATACTTTTTCTGTAGATAGGCTATTCCATATAACTGACTGGTATGGTAGTTTTTTTATTCTTTAAAATTATTTTAGAATGTTATATTATCAATAAAATGAAACTGAGTTTATGTTATAGAAATGTTTTAGGAGAAAAGGTATATATATATATATAATTTCTTAATCAGAATTTATCGTATTCTATATATATATATATATACTAATGTTATTGTTATTATTTTAGATCAACTCTAAACTGTCGCAAATCGAAATTGAACAAAAATTAATAAAGTTAGAGGATGTTTTGTTTAAAAAAACTCAAAATCGTTTGTAGATCAATAGGAAATAATTTAAATTTCTATTATTAAACTCTCAAAACTAATTTGTAAAATATTTACAAAATTCTCTTTGTCTTTATATAAAGCAAATGGTTCTTTATAGAACAGCACCATCTAGAAATGTGCTTGTGTAAATTTAGAAACCAGGTGTCGCTGCAGTAGCCAGAGTTGTGCCTTAGTAAAGCCTGTAACATGTAGAGCTGCCAGTAAAATACAACTATCAACAAAAGACCTGGTGTCAAGTATGATTTTTAGTTGATGTACTCATGGTCAATTTTCAACAGAGTGATTGGAGAATATGCAGTCCGTCATTCTAATTTAATAACTTGCAACCTTCATAGGCCTTTTCAGACGTGCTTGAAAGGTTCATGCATTTTACATAAATCATTTCTTTAAAAAAATGTTGACATGTTAGCATATGCATTTCTTCTTAACCAAGCTAATGAATCACATGCAATCCTGCATACTGCTTCTTAACAGGACAAACAAATGACTTGTAATCATGCATATTACTCTCTAACAAGTGAATGATTGCCATGTAATCCTGCATACTGCTTCTTAATAGGATAAACGACCGACATGTAATAATGCATACTACTCTCTAACAGCGTGAATGATTGGCATGTAATTATGCATAATACTTACTAATAGGGTGAATAATTGATATATAATCACGTATGGTACTTACTGACAGGATAAATGACTGACATGCAACGCTACATACTACTTTCTAACGGGGTGAATGACTGGCATATAACCATATATATGATTTCCTTTGGAAACTGAATGACTTACAAGTAATCGTGCATACTACTTCCTAATAGGGTGAATGACTGGCATGTAACCATATATATATGATTTCCTTTGGAAACTGAATGACTGACATGCAACGCTACATACTACTTCCTAACAGGGTGAATGACTGGCATGTAACCAAATATATATGATTTCCTTTGGAAACTGAATGACTGACAAGTAATCCTGCATACTACTTCCTAACAGGGTGAATGACTGGCATGTAACCATATATATATGATTTCCTTTGGAAACTGAATGACTGACAAGTAATCCTGCATACCACTTTCTAACGGGGTGAATGACTGGCATGTAACCATATATATATGATTTCCTTTGGAAACTGAATGACTGACAAGTAATCGTGCATACTTCTTCCTAACAAGGTAAATGACTGATATTTAACCATAAATATTATTTCATATCCATGTACTTCTTAAGCAAAATCAGCGACTGACATGTAACCATATACATTACTCATTAAACAAGATATATATATAATTACAAACAAAGTACAAGTCATTTGGTTTATCAAATTCTATAGTAAACTACAAAAAACGAACATTTTAAATCTAAAAGTTTCAGGCATGCAAACTTACTTTAGTTCAAGGACTTAAGGACTTCATTAAAACTTTTCCTTCTCATTCCTCGCAATCAAATAAAATAAAAATTGCTTTAAAACTATTTTGTTTTATAGCCGAAGGGTTGTGATTTTGTCTATTTGAAGTGCTACTTTCTATATAAACAGCCCAGTCGGGTCCTGAGTTCGAGAAGTGGTGCAACTGAGTATATTATACACTTTCAACTATGCGCATGTTAAAAAAGTGGTAGTCAGTCCTTTATTCATTTCAAAGAGCTGGGTATAGCTCTGGTGTCTGTGGGCGCTACTAGCTGGTGGCTTTCCCTCTGGTCAATAGCTTAAAACTGAAAACTGTTATACCTAAATCCTAAGGGTCTCTGACCAGGCCGTTTAGTCCACGTATGCATAAGGTGACATTTAAGTTACAAATTCCAAATCAGTATAAAATAGTAGGTAGATATTTAAACATTGAAGGCAAAATATCATGATCCAGATCAAACACTTTGTAGAAAAATGACATTTAACTAACAAATAGTAACTGAATAATCCTAACTAACAATTATCATTATGTGAGTTATTAAGTCAGGTATTCTACAATTACTTGGCTAAAGCATAAATAGTGCATGCTATTTAAAGTAAATCAGCAAGATAAAGAATCGTCTCAAAACATAACTTTAAAAAAATATCGTCACCTAAAGACACATAACTCGTGTTTGAGATTAGTCAGGTTTCTTCACAGGATTTTAATATTGTTTATCTATATGCTTCTCCCGTTATTCCGATTTTACCATAACTCAAGTATTCAGGAATGGAGAATCAAACAATTACGTTTTCAAACCACAATGAACAAATACCTCTGAAACAATAATTTTAATGTAATGATTACACTAATTTTCTGTAAAAGACAAAGCTACACAATGAGCTATCTGTGCCATACCCACCACAGGTATCGAAACCCGATTTTTAGCGTCGTATTCCTGGTGACTTAGCGTTGAACCACTGTGGAGCGAGTAAAAGTGTAAGCTGTATTTATTTAGAATTTGAAATACAAACTGTATGAACATGTTGTTAACAGATGTATTAACATGTACATCAGAGTATGCCGGGTCCGTGTTGCGCCACCATAATATTCCACACAGTTTGCGGGCTTACAACGCTAAAATTTGGGGCTCAATTTCCCATGGTTGACATAGGGCAAATACCAATTTTGTAGTTTTGCGCTATAACAAACAAACAAAATATTACACTCACGCTGAAGTGTTCCGACATTCCTTTAATAGAACGCGAGTAGCCTTTGTAGCAGAGATTCAAGGCTTTTCGTACTAAAATATAAGTAAATGATCTTGTTAATATAATTTCTGGACACTCTGTATAAATTGAATTCATGATGGTGATTGCCACTTGAAGTATCTCGATGTCCAGTTACTAAGTGATGTCTATATTTGAGCTTGTAACTCTAGCATATACGAAATAATATCAAGTATCCAGAGTTGTAATAAAGATAATGACAGATTTATAATCATGAACCCTACTTCTTAAGCATGGCTTATGAGGGGTGCATAATCACGTTTATCAACCTTCCCAACAAAAGTGAATTGAGGAATTCAACCGCATACATCAACTTAGGTACACGTAGCACTCGTGGGTAATTCAGCTGTCTTGCTAAATCAAAACATATAACCTCGCCCTAAGTAACAACACCTGTACGTACAAACATACCAGTAGAGAACTGTAGTTTCGAGATATTTCAGTTCTCATCAGCCCAGAGACTTCCACACAATGGAGTCTTGTATATCTTAAAACTACGTGTGTTTATAGTTTTTATGTTTAAATATGCATATACAGATCGATACTATAAGAACAACAGAAACCTAATTTTAAAAATACATAGGATAAAGATATCAGTAAAACAAAAATGGAAAATTTATGTACACGAGCTGAATTCATTAAGCACTGTTTCTGTTAGATACAACTGTTATGTTTTCTGTTTACTTCGCAACTGTTCATGACCTAAAAGTAACGAAGAGGGCGCGTGTGTTTTTGGGTACTGATTTCAATGTTTCCAGCATTAACGGTATTTAAGCCTAACGGCCAGATCAGAGACTACAAGGTTCGTCCATAACCCTAATTTAGAAGTGTTGACCAGTGGAAGGGAAGATCACCCAGTTAGCAGCACCCACTGCCTAAAGTGCTTTTTTGAACCTATAACGGGATTACTTACAACAGTTATAGCTGAAAATTCGAAGCGTGTTAAGAGCATATCGCGGATCGAACCTTTCAATATGCAACTCTGCTCGCTCATTATAAGTGAGCTTTTAGTTGCATGATAATTCGAAATATATTCAATATACAAACAGGTTAGTAATTTAAGCATACGTTTTCAGTTCTAGAGGAAACATTTTGAAAGA